TTTTTTTTTTTTTTTTTTTGTTTTGTGAGACATTAAATCTTGCAATTACAAGAACTTTCACACCTCAATGAATTCATCATTCAATCCGAACGGTTTAATTGTACAATGATACATTAGTCATGTCTCTTTTTAACTACATGTATGTTTGTATGTATGTATGTATATATGTATGCACTGCAAAAAGTAATTGAACGATTTAGAAGCAAACTACAGTTAGGGAATGAAGCGTGACTGGCAATCTTAATGTACATATGTATCTACAAAAGTAATGAAATAATGAATAAGACAAAGGGGTTCGATGGATAATTTATTTAAATGTAAACTCTTTTAGTTTTAAAAAGTTGTAGACACTTTATTGGTTCGGTTATATTTCTGAGAATAAGAAAAAATTTCAGTTTTTCATCTGTAGAGGAATATGTATTATATACAAATATAATAAGCAGTATATAATAGAAAGCAATTAAATGTAATCGTTTTAAGAATATGGGGAGAGGGGAAGTCAATTTGAATATCTGGGAATGTTTACTTAGCGGTGAAGGACACTAGGTGATAAATATTTCTTGATCAAATTTTTTAAAGTTTTCCGGTAGTCGGTAACTTAAATCAGTTTTCAGTCAGATCGATAACTCGATTCTATCGATAATGACAAAAACTGTATTCAAAACCTAATCAAATATTTTTGTATAGGCATATTTCACCCGGATATATAATTTAAAGACATCAAGTCGCATAACATAATACACCTGGACGAAGCGCATTTTATCGCTTGGAACGCCGAATCGCTCAATCCAGTTGTTCTCTATCAGGGATAGTATTACCACATTATTATTTAAAATCTCATCTCGAATCGCAAGGTAGCACAATTAACAAAGATCTGGAATTAAAAAAAATTGCGACTGATGTCCCTAAACGAGATAGAGCAACTGCTACAAAAACAACAACAACAGAACTTGTCTTAAACATTTACTTATACAACTAGTTTAGTGGAGATAATTGATACACCTATTCCTCAAGATGGGTATTAAAAACATGTACGTGAATCCTAATATTTTTTTTAAGATGGTCAAGTATGGTGATATAAATTGTTGCAGCAAACGTGGTTAGGGCACTCTTTTTGTCTGCCTTTTTGTGACCAAACATCCAAATTTGTAGAAAATTATTTTTTTCTTGTTTTCCGAACAGAGAGGAAATGTGATATCTTCATGTTTTCAGAGGGTATTTTTATTTAAAAAAAAATATATATATATATATATATATATACATTTATCAGCCGACAGCCGATTTCATGCTGTATCTAATCAGGGCCTTGATGGCGCTGGGCTATCCACTTATTCCTTTGAAAGCCTGAACCCTGCAGTAGCTCTGTTGCCATTTTCGCAACAAAAATTTCGGCAAGGCAGATACTGTAATGGTTTGACAGCTCTTTTTCCATTTTAGAACCAAGTGTAAAAATATAAAGACCTTTGCCTGCATATATCAGGCCCTTATTCTAGCCATACCCCTCTATTTTAGCTGACAACAGAAAGTCAGGAGCGTGATTATATAGTTCAGTGTGTCCGTAAGTCCTGATCCTTAACTGCGTCGCAATGTATAGCCTGAAACATCCTCGATTCTTTTCAACCAAATTCAACTTATTGTAATTGGTCATAAAACTATATAATATTCGCGCATTGTAGCTGCAGAAACAATTTTCGCTGAGCTCCTCCTCCTTCTATTGTGATTTATGTCAGAAATATATATGTGTATATGGATTAAATTTTCTTTACCTATATTTTTCAATATCTCTTAAGCTTCAACGATATCGCAGCAAAAAGGTCGACTTTTATGTGGGAACATATAATATATACATTATAACTACTTTTGCTAATTATTTGCAATGGAAAGAATGAAATAAAAATTTTTAGGATACAAAAAACATCGCCAAAGAAGTTTACCTTCGAACCTAACTATTATTATTACTTTATCATCCATAAATTACAATGCTTTTGTTTTAAAATACAATATTAAAATGCATATTCATCACAAGTATATGTGTACATGAAATTATTTTTAACATTATGCCTTGATAGCGCCGAGTGGCTAACAGTGCGTTCCACAAAGCGGATCGACTCAAACACCTGATTGCGCCTCGGCAGGGAATCTTAAACCCTCCGTGTGTATTTCTGACATGAAATACAAGTTCCTCATAAAGAAACCATCAGCCGTTCGGAGGCGGCTTAGTATAAACTGCAGCTCCCTCCATTTATTAGGAGATCGGAGGAGGAGCTTGCCCGAAAATCGCTTCAGCGGTAATAAAGCGCTAACTAAATAAATAAAATTATATTGAAAATTTACAGCGGCAATTAATATACACTTATCAAAATAAATTTTTTCTCTAAATAGTGACAAGATATTGTTGCGCAGCAGCTAAATGCTAATGGCCATTTAAAATAATTTACCATAAAAGCATTAACTTATTAATATTCATATTATTCAAAATGAAATTTGGGATGTTATGTTCGGTTGAAGTTTATTATCTGTTAAGGCGTTAATCAAGTTCATTCATGCATATTTATTAGTTACCAAATCACCTAGACCCGGTGACCTTTAAACGAAATGCATGAATAATGTGGAAATTTGTGAAATTCGCGTTGACATATGTTTTTATATGCTGCATTTCCAGTAATACCAGCAAAAACGGGTTTAATCAAAATATTATTGAACCTATTTCGTTTAGTCTATGCAACTTTTTTTTCCCCCAACTTACATTGAATTTAAAATAACCCGCAAGAGATAACCCACGAGAGATACTTTGTATGTACATATGTATGTATGTCTTTACAAAAATCGTTTCACAAGAACAGGTTATTTTTATTAAAATTACCGATAACTCAGCTTAGGCATTTTGATATAAATTATAGTAGTTTAATGCGCTTCATTTGAAAATAATAAAAAGGGACACGCTTATATGTGCTCGAATCCATACATATATATGTAAAAAGGCATAATTGATAAGGTCTGTAACACCTAATATTACATTAATTTTAAGTAGAAAATAACTAATCGGAAAAACATGAATAATAGATTATAAACGCAAAAAAATGTATAAAATCTGAATTGTTTGATCTCGTTACTGCAGCACAAATTTCAATAGTGATCTTAGCTGGCATACGTGCATGTACATTAGGGTGAGCCAAAAGACTAATCTATCATATTTATGGGTTGAAATGAACCTGCAATGCAATATTTTTTTCTCAATTTTAAAGTTTTCCATAAAAATAAGACGTTAAAGCCCTTATATATTATGTACAAGGTGTAGTAAGAATTAATACAATATTTGTATTAAATTGGAGGGTTTATTAAACATAGTTAGACTTATCAGTTTTATGGAAAATATGCGATGTTTTGTTCTGTAACTGTGCTTCTGTTATAGTCGTTGTCGATGTGAATGTGAAACACTATTCCCTTCCTCTTAGCCAAAGCTGAGCGCTTCTGGGCGATTGCTCCCTTCAGACGCTCTAATTGCTGACAATACCAATGTCGTACTGGTTACAATTTTTGAAAAAACTTAGGCAGCACTGCATTTTTCGTCCTTTTCAAATTACATTTGCCAGTTGATAAAGTAAAAAAGAAATGGAAGACGGTGCACTTCAAAATATATCAGTTTTATTTATTTGTTTATTAAATCATTAAATATTTGAATTTAATTTTGAAAAATATGCCTAAACGACAAAAAAAAAGCTGAATGAAAACGCCATCTTCCAAAATAAAAAGGTAATTTTTTCCCAACTTGTTGGCATACGCTTTTTTACATTTTTTTCTTCATCTTCAATGAATTCCAGACCTAAAATATGCCTACCCATTTTGGTTTTTATTTTTTCTCAAACTAACAACAAAAAAAAACAAACAGTAGAATAAAACAGTAAAATTTTTTCTACCTCCCGTTTCGTTGGTAACAAAATTTACAGGGTGACAGTGAACTCAGAATACGAAATAGTAACAAAATTGCCTCAACGGTAAATTTTAATGCCAAAGTAAATTTTGTTACCTCGATAGAATAGGCCTATACAGGTGGGAATTAGGCGCAGGGCCGTAGGGCAGAAGCTAATAGTGGATGATTCGTTGCTAATTCCACCAAACAAACTACAAAATCTTCCTGGCTGTCGTACCTGGCTTAGAGAAACTTTGTGCCGGCTCACTGCCCTTCGACCCCGACCGTTTCTGTTTGACGTCCCTACGCTTTTCATCATCAGTCACCATCCGCTTCAGAAATGGCTCGATTTTGTTATGATAGAACCTGTGCTCTCATAACGGGCAGACATAACAATTAGCATAATTTTATCGACATTTTTGACGATTGGCCTCTTAAAAGTGCGTAAAAGTTTTTTTTCATTATCCGAGGCTCATAAATATACGAATTACTGACTACAAAAAAAAATGTCACTTAGGGGGTTCTACAAAGACGCGATGCAAAAATGTAACGCTTAAAAATTTATGACTATTATAATGGACAAATAGATTTTGACGTGATATTTAAATGTCAATTTTGAATGCCAACCGACACCTTTCAAAATTTCGAAAAAAAATCTGGCTTGTTAAAAATTTTATTTTCTTAGGAAATATGATAATTATAAGCCATAAATACCCTAAGGCTTACTCTAATGTACAAATGCACATATACACAGAGCTATAACATTGGTAAGGGTCATGCACGTTTACCTATAGAAGAAATATTTTATATAAACAAACCAATGTACTATTTTAAACTAAACAAGTTTGTATAGTACTTTAATTTATCTGTTGTTGTTGTGGAAAAACGCAAAATATTTCCCTGAACTGGTTTTATGGGAATATTGTGGGAGTGATAGTAATTGGCCGGATAAAGACTGACCTGTCGCAGGAACTATTGGATTTTAGTCACTTTCTTCGACAGGTATGCCTTACCGTGGATAAACTCATTAACACTTAACTCGGAGAGTCAGATTAATATTATATATCCCTTAATAGCTATTGTTACTTACATCATCTGCTTTAGGATGAAAATGTTGACAATTATGGGCGGAGGTTATTATTGGCAGGAGTAGTAAGCCAATAATAAAGTGTATTTTGTAATGATATTTTGGAATCATTGAGACGATACTTTTTCTCAGTACAAAATCATTTGTGGAACACTTTTGCTGATTATATATTAGCCACATTGCATATAAAGTTTTTTTATTTATTTATTTTTATTTCATAAACAAAACACATTAGCTAGCTGCGCTTTACAGGCCCAACAGACTGTTTGATAGAGAAGACTGTAGACTTTATGCCCATTAAGTGCATAAAAAGAATGGAGTTGTTATTATGACCATTGCTTTTTGGCAAGAATTACAAATCGATATATTTTTTTTTTTATTTGACTTCGCTTTGGTACTGGTATTTTACCTTCACTCCAGCGCACAGCACAATTTGCAATTTCACACGAAGAAAAAAACCGTAATTTCGTAATTTGCGTGACACTTAAAAAAAAAAAACAAAATTAAAAAACCAAACCGCTTCAGTTACTAAAATGGGTGCGACCATAACAATGGTAACTACTAAAGACATCAATATACGAGTACATATTTTTAAAGCAAGCTAACTTTCGCACAGTAAATAATTATTATGTGCATAGCATTTGAAATGTAATGAGAAATTAATACTGTTTTTATAATTAAGGATATTTACTGATAATGTTTAAATGGTGTGAGTTAGTAAAACTTCCATACATTACAATACTGTATCAAGACAGTCTCTAATAAAGTGCACTTTTTCCTTCACTTATATGTATGTATATATAACAGCTTTTAATATTATTATATATTTTGCACAACACTCTTTCACCAATTTTATTACACTAAACTGTGCATCCACACTCGAAATTATATATAAACTAAAACTAATAAATACGCGAACATTTTATCACTATATACAAATATGTAAACGACATATACTAAACAACATCTTAACTTGAGCCTTAGAAAACGAATGAATAGTCAAGATGAAGAACTGCAAACGCAGCTGCGCCAATTTGACATACATTAATAGCTGAGTTGCCAAGTCATTTACTAAATTAATAACTATTTGTTTAAACATTAGTTATAAAAGTAATTCTTAGACAAAAAAAATTAAGGTTTTATTATCTTGTTAACGAATTTCTCATTAAATAATTGACGCCTAGTGATAATAATTTCGTATATGTAGTAAGTGTATGTTAACAGAAATGTTTGTCCAATTAGAAATATGGCTTTACTGTAATGAAAATTCCGGGATGTCAGAAAATGTAAGATAGAAAAGGTCCCAATTGCAGAAACGTCAGACAAGGAGAGAATATGGAAAAATGTGAAAATGCCTGAGGGCAATCAGTGAAAATTTTTAAATTGATAATACAAAATAAAAATAAACAATGCAGTAACAAAATGCATTTTTAATTCAAAGTAAAAATACGCTTATAAACTTCAAGTTAGAAGTGAGTAATTATAAATATTAATCCATATATGCCAAAGTGTGTGCTGAATCCATATTGACCATGTAAAATAAAACATTGAAAAAAAAAAATATTGCACATTTTTTGTTGACATTTTCTACTATAAATAAATTAACTTTTGCACGGTATAATTAAACAGTATGAAAAACATTTTAGTATGTGGCGTGTAAATTGCATTTGATTTTGAGCCATTATTCTGCCTATACCAATTGAAAGTAAAACTCGAAAAACACTTCAGTACACACAATGGAACAAGAAATCGGAACATGGGACTCGGTGCTTTTGGAAAATCTTTCCGAAGATAGCTTTATAAATAATATCCATCTTCGCTACAAACGTGACCATATATATGTAAGTGCTAATGATATAAAATATGTGTATTTAAATGAAAAAAGGAGATACTCATGTTTTTTTTATTCTTCTCCTTTTATAGACGTACATTGGAACATCCGTTGTCGCGGTGAATCCATATCATCACATATCAGAACGAACTTCAGATACCATACGAAACTATGGGAGTAAAGGCATATTTCAGCTGCCGCCTCATATGTAAAGCCACTTAATATCATTTCATACTTAAAAACACATCATTAATTTTTACCTTTTTCCTTCTGTACAGATACGGTTTAACAAATTTAGCATTTCAATCACTCAAAGATCAGGGGGAAGATCAGTGCATCGTGCTTACAGGTAAGATTGTGACTTCATTCATACTCTATATTATTAAAAAAAACAATTTCATTTTTAATAAGGTGAAAGTGGCGCCGGTAAAACAGAATCGTTTAAAATGATCGTGAATTTCCTTACGCATATTCAAGAGAAAAACGCACCTGCAACCTCACAGTTTAAAAAGGAACCCACGATAAGCGGTACAGGGAGTGCTTACTCCGGTTATGTTAATACGCATCGACGTACATCGAGCAATTGTTCGGCTCAAAATATTACTTTATACAAGAAATCTGATAGTGCCATGACAATAACAAATTCTGCACGCCGGCAGTCGCTTTCGCCCGGTCCACCACCACGTCGTTGCAGCACAGCTAATGTTTCCGCACAACGCATACGCGCTGAAAGTTCAGACCGCAGCCAATCTCGGCGCAATATGCGCGAAAAAATTGTTGATTTCGATTTCTCACATCATAAAAGTACTGAAAACATTTCATATGTCGATGGGAAAGGTGCGTTTCGCACTATTGACAAACATCCCTCGAAATCCTGCTTTAAACATCAGCCCACTCAAACAACACCATTTGTCACTGCCAACCTAATGAATCCAAATTTAGCTTCTTCTTCCAAATACCTGCACAGCGGTGCACACCAAACAGGAACTTCAGCTAGTAGTGGTTGTCGTCAATGCGGACATAGTAAATGTACACGTGCTCTAGCGCTCGAAGTAGATTCACGAAATATGCCTTTTAAAAATACCACCACGCAAAATTTATTAGCCGGCCCATCTAGAGGAATGCATCGTGGAAGTTTTTGTAATTTGCTTCGCCAGCATTCTACAGAAAGTCAAACTGACCATTCGTCATTGATTGGTTCAACACAACGTATTTCACTCTATGAGGCACATAAGCAAAATCAATTGGCCGCAACTTGTACCGCTATGCCAGGGTCAACATGTGCACAAACTTCTTCATCTCTATCACTCTCAGGGACAATGAATGTGCTAAGCACAAGGTCACGACGAAAGTCGCCTAGTCAACGGTTGCGAGAATGCGTTACATGTGCTGATGTCTTTCTCGAGGCTATGGGGAATGCGGTTACTTTAAAGAATAGCAACTCAAGTCGTTATGTAGGTATCACATACATGAGTAGTTATATTATTTGATTTATATGTATGTATGTTTTTTTATCCTAGGGGAAACTGTTCGATATCGAAATTGACTTCAAAGGTGATCCTATGGGTGTACACATAACTCATTGTAAGTATAAAATGTGTATATTATTGCATACGCTTAAAACTAAGCAGTAATCATTTAAGTGAAAAAATTAATCAAACATTTTAAAAACTCTTAAAACCTAACACACCTTAAAATAATGTTATTCCTTTCATGTCTCACAAATTTTTTTAATTAAGTTATGTTGGAAAAGGTAAAATATTGTTTATGATTCGCAAAATAAAATTTAATATTAACTTTTTTTATTTCAGACACGCATTACAAATACCAGTGTTGGAGAACGGAATTTTCATATATTCTATCAGTTGCTGTTGGGTGCCGACTTACCATTATTAAGTATGTTTGTAAACATTTCGGAATTTTAAAAATAGCTTAGTACAAAAAAATTCCTAGAGGCAGTATAAAATCTATCATAAGCTCTTAGTTTAGAGTGCTGTATAAAGTTTGCTAATAACATAATTTTTTCGCCATAGAATCTCTAAAGTTGTATAGGAATGTGGAGAAATATGATATTTTACGAAATACAACTGCCATCGAAGAAGATCGTGAAAACTTTCATTACACAAAGGTACGAGAAAATATTATTTTCAGTAGGAAAATTAAAGTTACTCCTAATTTCATATTGTATTTTATACTTTAGAAATCACTTGAGATACTTGGTTTGTCATGTGATGAAATCAGCGCTATACTTCGTGTCATTGCGATTGTTTTAAAGTTAGGAAACTTTATTTTTGTGCCCATTACAAATATTGATGGAACTGAAGGCTGTCAAATATCAAATATTTACGGTTTGTAGTCAACTACATGCAGTATCTAGATATATTTATTATACATACATATATGAGAAAAATTATAAATGTAATTTCTCTAATTTTTAACACTCACAGAGGTTCAAGAAACAGCACATTTACTAAGCTTAGATGCTCAAATCTTAATTAATTGCCTTACTCGAGCAAATTGTTCAAATAGCACGATGGAAGATGTCGGTGAGTTTGACTGATATAGTACCAACAAACTAACGTTTCAATATTTTAATAAAATAAATGAATACAAATTTTCGTATAGGATGCGAATTAGATGCTCGTCAAGCAGCCAATGCTCGTAGCACGCTCTGTCGCACACTTTATGGTCGGTTATTCACATGGTTGGTGAACAAGATTAATGAAACATTAAAATCAACGCAACGTGAGAAGAATTTAGCTTTACTAGATTTTTACGGTTTCGAATTGCTTGACATTAACTCATTCGAGCAATTTGCAATAAATTATAGTGCCGAAAAGATACACCAGGTAAACTATCACCAAATTAATATATTCTATTATTACATTGAATTCATTTGACTTTCAGAATTTTGTTCACAACCTATTAAGGCTCGAGCAGGAGCTTTATATACGGGAAGGTCTGGAATGGACACGTGTAGACTTTTTTGATAATGAGTCAATTTGTGAGCTCATCGATAAGCCATGTTATGGTATACTAAGCATTATAAATGAGCCACATCTGAACAGTAATGAAGCGCTTTTACTGCGCATACAACAATGTTGTGCCGGACATCCTAATTTCATAAGTGGTGCTCAAAATTCAATGGGATTTAAGTAAATTGTGTCTTACAAATATAAATATGTTTATTTTATTTATTTATTTATTTCCCTTTTTAGAATCCGTCACTTTGCCAATGTAGTAAGCTATTCAATTCACCGCTTTTTGGAGAAGAATTCTGATGTTTTGCCAAAGTTCGTTAGCGGTGCCCTTTATCAAAGCAAACTACCGCTGGTTCAAAGTCTATTTCCGGAAGGTAAATAAATAAAGTATATGAAGTTTTTTAAAGAAGGTAAAGGCCTTAAAGAGTTAAAAATTGAAATTCTGTTAAATAAAAATATATTTTCAGTCGTCTGTTTTCAAAATTTTTAAATATTTATGATTTAGAATTAATTTAACTGTTTGGCCCCATTTAATTCGCCTTTGCTATAGATACGATTTTTAAATTTTAGGGTATTCAAATTTATTTTCAATCAATACGTTAGTTATGTCACCAATCTCAATTTTTTCCAGGTAATCCTCGACGACAAGTCACACGCAAACCTACAACACTCAGTTCAAATGTACGAACTCAACTTCACACATTATTAGCAATAATAAAAAATCGACGATCACACTATGTTTTCTGTATAAAACCCAATGAATGCAAGCAATCGCATACGTTCGATTTAGCTTTGGTGCAGCATCAAGTACGTTATATGTCTCTTATGCCTTTGGTACATCTTTGTCGGACGGGGCACTGTTTTCATTTACCACATGCTAAATTCTACAATCGCTACAAATTGTTGAATAGCTCCACTTGGCCACATTATCGTGGCAGTGGAAATGCTGACAGTATTCCTGGTTGCTCCATTGTGGAAGGCGTTGCTTTAATCATACGTAATTTGCCTCTACCAGCAGCAGAATTTACAATTGGCACGAAAAATGTATTTGTCCGCAGTCCGCGCACAGAATATGAATTGGAGCAATTTCGTCGGGAACGCATTAATGAGTTGGCTATATTAATACAAACAAATTTTCGTATGTATGTGGCAAGAAAACGTTATCTTCGTATGCGGCAAAGTCAGATTGTTATAGCGAGCGCTTGGCGGACATGGCGGGTAAATGGATATGCATATGTTTATGAACTTACGTATGTAGTTGAGTTTGCATCCTAATGAAATGTTGAAAAAGTACATGATATACTAGTAATGGAGAAATGCTTATATGCAGCCTGTAGTGAGTTCGGCTGGATTTGAAGTTTAGAATATTTTTGCTTTAGATTTTATTCTGTTACTGCTACATTCATGCGCCTTGCAACTATTTTATAATTATAACTATTTTTTTTTTATTCTTATAGTTTTTCATTAATTTGTCACCACCTTATTTTTAGTAGATTGAAATTTATATATACAAACATAAAAACAAGTACAAAAGAATACTTACATTCATACATATGTGTTAATTGTTCGTTGTTCGCTTTTTGTTGTTTCTGATGCATGGGCTGTATATTTATTAAGGAGTGTCGCTTTAGCATTCCATTTAAAGGCCGAAGACACCTGTGGAGCCTCTATCGAAGTGTAAGCATAACGATTAGTATACACCGTTAATATTGCTTGTTTTTAAGTGTTTCATATGTTAACGTTAATTTTTAATCATTAATACTTTATTTTAATTTTTAGGCACGTAAGGAATACACAGTTATGAAATATAAGCGGCAAGTAAATTGGGCTGTTGACGTTATATCAAGATATTATCGACATTGGAAAATTCGCCATTTTTTGTTGACCATACCTATGCGTTTGCCGCCAAATACATTAAGTCCTCTTTCAAGCGAATGGCCAACATCACCCAAATTTCTAGCTGAAACATCACGCCTATTGCGTGCCATATACCATCGTTGGAAATGTTATATTTATCGCAACTCTTTCGATCAGACCTCACGAAATCGCATGCGTGAAAAAGTTACTGCCAGTATTATATTTAAGGATCGCAAAGCATCGTACTCCCGGAGGTATGTATCTTGTCTTCAATTAAAATTCTGTTTGTATACTTATTTTCATACAGTGTGGGTCACCCATTTGTGGGCGATTATGTACGGTTACGTCATAACCAGCAGTGGAAGAAGATGTGTGTGGAGACCAATGATCAATATGTGGTGTTCGCCGATATTATAAATAAAATTACCCGCTCCAGTGGCAAGGTATTCTATTTTAAATCACAATATACCGCCTATTTATGACGTTCTCAATTTTTGTAATTCTATTAATAATTAGCTCGTGCCAATATTACTTGTGTTATCAACTTCTGCGCTGCTCCTTTTGGACCAGCGTACGCTACAAATTAAGTACCGAGTGCCTGCATCGGAAATTTATCGCATGTCTCTAAGTCCATATCTCGATGATGTTGCTGTGTTTCATGTCAAAGCTGTAAATAACCGTTCATTTAATAAGCATTCATTTACTTATTATTGTTGGGTGTATTTCTTTTTTCATTGTTACAGTCTGATTTTGGACGCAAAAAGGGCGATTTTGTTTTTCAAACTGGCCATGTCATTGAGATTGTAACCAAAATGTTTCTTGTCATACAAAATGCCACAGGAAAGCCACCCGAAATACATATTAGCACCGAGTAAGCAACCTTAAACTCCCCAAATTATACAATCAATATTGTGTATGTTAAATTTTTTAGATTTGAAGCAAATTTTGGTCAGCAAACAATTATATTCTCTTTTAAATATGGTGGCATGTCGGATTTAGTCCAATCGCAACCGAAAGTTACACGCAAAGCGAATCGCATGGAGATTACTGTGTAATCATATGTACTATTGTATTGGATTAACTTAAGGTGAATGTTATAAAAAAGGAAAGTTTCACAATGTGATTTGAGACTATGGTTAGTATATATGTATGTAGATGACTGAAGTGTTTAAACTGCAAGATGTTATGCTATAGACTCCTCTTTGATCGCTGACAATCAGCTAAAACAAAAACAAAAAATATAAAAAAAATATGAAATAATATCTGTTATAAATTAAGTAGATGTTTTAAACTGAATATATTTAGAGAAATGTACTTATTATTGAAGAAATATTTTTTGCCATCTTCCGCTTTACATTAATACTAAAACAAACTTTTTTGATAGTTTTGTTGAGACTTAAATATAAGTTTGGAAATATCCCAAAGACTCAAAAGAAAATTTAATAAATTTAACTTTCATATTTTTCACCACATAATACGTACAAAGAATCATAAATTCAGTTCAATGAAAAAACATAATTTTATGATTGCACAGCTCTAGTTTGCATGTAAGGGAAAGGGAAGAACTTTTATAATGTGTTTTATGTGCTTTCTTTTCACGTTTTTTCTTTTATTATTTCTATCTGCCTAAGGAAGCAAACAAAAAACACACATTTTTAAATGTTTCAATTCTCTTTATATGGATTAACATTAAATATATGTTTTGTTTTGCTTTTCAAATTTTCACTGCTATATTCATTAATACCATCTTATACTGGTATATTAAATATGTTTGTACATACTTAAAAGGGAATCCATATAAGGAAATAAGTAAACTTGTACAACTGTTAAGCTTGTAGTTCAAACAAAGAAGAAAGTCAAATGTTAAATCATGAAATTGTTATACACAAGAGAAACCATATAGAATTATTACAATATCAAGAAGAATCAAAAGAATATAATAAACGCAAATCAATAAAATACCCAACTACCTTAATGTAAATACAATACTTACATACGACGTACTTGAAGATATAAAGTGAAAAAAATTTCTTGGTTGGAATCAGCAGATAAAAGTTTGCTCGCGTTATACCAGTTTATTCCCAGTAGTTTTAAGTAATTTGAATTCGAAAACCTGTCTACCTGTGTCTTAATCTACTAACACCTTGGGCAGCATGCAATCACTGATCTTCCAAAAATTGTCAAAGTATTATTTAACATAACCTAGGAAACAATCCTTCTTTTGCAAAAGTCTTTGTAATGCAATAAAAATGTACAGTGTTTATAAAACATCGTATTAAAATGAATTAAACCATTTTCATGTAAAATTTCATTCATTTTTAGGAGAATCAATAAAGTACATAGTTATAATACTTTTGCTCATATATATTAAATATACATATAATTGGAGTGTTAGCATCTGTCTAGTTGTTTAAGTGTTATTAGATAAAAAAATATAAACCGATAACCAGGCAGATGCAAGCAACTCATGTTTTTTTTTTAAAGATAAGAATTCAAATAATTTCTTTTGCGGATCAACTACTAAATTATTTAATTTAAATAATTTTTTATAATAATTTTCTTTTTCAGCTATGCTTGAAATGTTCGTAAGGCATAGTGGGAGAGCCTTCACTTTTCAAATGACCAATATAAAGGTTATAAAAATAAAAATCTCATGAGGTCTTTGAATTTTCCGTATATAGTAAATTATATACATATATATAATAAAATTCTCCTACCAGTTATTTTGAACGCTTTCAAGTTAACAAAGAAAAAATGCACAAGTATTGGTTTTGAAGTTTCACTAATAATTCATATATTAATATTTGGTATAAAACTTTATAAACTAACTTTAGCCCATAGATTTATAAACTTAAAAAACATATATGGGAATACAGCAAAGCATCATAGTCATCGTATTTTCGTTGATAATGACTTTCTCTAACATTCCCCAATTATTAACATGAAAATAAAATTTAATTTTTCACACCCTTACAATGTTGTTTATGAATATATTGCATTTATACATACATACATATATACTCGTATTTTAAGAAAATGCTTTTGTATTTATGTACATATGTATATGCACATTATTTAGTAAATTTACAATTTCGATTGTGGTTTCTTCAGCATATCCCTTAGAACGCGGCGTAAAATTTTACCGCTTGGATTTTTTGGAATGTCATCAATAAATATCACGCCACCACGTAAACGTTTTGCTGGCGATGCATTCTCAGATACAAACTTTACAACATCATCTTCACTCAGTACAACGTTTGCTTGTTTTACAACAAATGCTAATGGCAATTCACCCGCCTCTTCGTCTGGTATTCCAATGACGGCAGCATCTTTAATTTTTGGATGTGTCAATAATAAAGACTCAATTTCAGCTGGTGGCACTTGAAAACCCTTATACTTAATGAGTTCTTTAATGCGATCCACAATGAAGAACTCAAAGTCATCATCGTAATAACCAATATCACCCGTATGTAACCAACCATCTTGAATAACGGTCTGTGTAGATTTGGCATCACCAATGTAGCCTTTCATAATACAATCTCCTTTGAAACATAATTCACCACGCTGATTGGGGCCAAGAGTTTTTCCTGTTTCCGTGTCAATAACTTTGGCATAAATACCCAATTTAAGAGTGCCCACACTGCCCGCTTTGCAAGCTGTATCATTTTGTACGAGTAAGCTAAGAGTCGATTCGCTTAAACCATAACCCTGACGAATAATGGGCACACCAATTCTGCAATCAAAATACCAAATATGAAAAATCTTCATATGTTTACATGCATATATGTAAATCAAATTCAGTGTATTCAAAACATACCGCTCCGTAATAAGATCCTGGGTCTCTTTGCTTAACGGTGCTGCGCCGCACAATAAGACCATCAGTGATGACAAATCGTATTTATCTACAAGTGGATGTTTAGCCAAGAATACCATTAATGGTGGCACCATAAACGCCATCAATACACGATATTTCTGTAAGAAAAAATACATACATATGAATGTGCATACATAAGTAATATGAAGCAATAGCAAGTTTATTTCTCGAAAAAATTCGGTAGAAAAAAATTACCTCGATTGCTCCTAGGAAAAGATTTTCCTCAAATTTCGGCAAATACACAAGTGTAGTACCTAAAGCCGTTGTTGTTATTAGTGTAAGGCAACCAAAAGCGTGAAACCAAGGAATCACAGTAAGCAAAGTAATTTCACCCATTGGTATAGCAGTTGGTTCACTATAGAATGTTAAAAATCAAATAGTTAATAAAAAGTATATTCATGTATATGTATGTACAGACAAGTATACACCTAGCATATGAACTTAGAATACGGACTTACAGGTTTGAGTCTAATGTAGAAAGAATGTTATATTGCGTAAGTTGAACACCTTTTGGCAGACCTGTAGTACCAGAGGAGCAAACAATCAATGCAACATCCTCGTTTTTGTCCGCTACTGGAGTATCAAAATAGTCTTCTGATTTAATATTCGCACTACTCATAAGTTCTTCAAAAGTGTAAATATGTTCATTTCCGTTGTAGGTTTCAAGGGCCACAATTGTTTTCACAAAACCATTCTTTTTTGCAACCTTTGCAACGAGATCTACGGTAAGTTTCGATGCAAATATCACTTTTGGCTTAGATAAATTAATAGCATGATGTACTTCTCCTGCGGAAAAGAGCAAAGATTTATTTATGATAATGTATTAAAATTTTTAATATAAATTTATTTGCTTACGTTCGGAATACGTTACATTAAGAGGAGCCACTGAAGCATTAACAGCAAATGATGCATATAAAACAATAGCAAAACGAATACTATTCTCACTGGATAAACCGACAACATCTCCGGATTTCACTCCTAAATGCTTAAGCACATGAGCCATACGCACTACAGAGTCGTACATATATTTTGCTGTATATTCTTGGCCAGTGACTGCGTCAATCATTACAGTTTGATTGCCAAAGCTCTTATACTTTTCGAGAATATAATGACCCAGAGATTTGTATGCATGTGTTTCGGTACATGTAATTGGTCCGGCATAAACGATGTTTCCTGGTAGCAAGGCAGTCATATTGTTTTTCTAGAAATTGAAAAAAAGGATTATTATTAGCTCAATGTGCACGGATGTATGTATGTATGTACGAATCAAACTTAATTCTGCCCTCGATTTGCATTAAAATTTTATTGCACTTTGGACCAAAGTGTACTTTAATGGTGAAATCCAAAAACAGATTTATTGATAGCTTTATCTTATCGTATTTTTTTGCTACATCTGATCAAAAATGTATAAACATGCATTGTTTTCTTCTAGCTTGTGTATACTTAAGAGCAAATTAGAACAGTTTCATTTTATTAATTTGCATACCTTATAATAAACTTTGTACTAAAATTAGTATGAAAAACAAAGGTCGTTGGATTCTGGCACAGGTGTGCTTTGAAATTATGGTAATTAAACTTAATTAAAATATATTGAAAACAAAAAACAAAAAATTTGTCAGTCAAACACTTTATTTTTCGCCGGCAGAGTTATGTATCCAAACTGAGTAAGACACTAAACTATACTTATTCGTAGTTAATAAACAAAAAATATCGAGTAACACAATTACTGCACACAGTAAAACTGATTAAACAAATTGAAAGCCCTCGTAATTTACCTTTTTTACGCTAGTCATCCACAATACTAATTAAATACATACACAACCCAACAAGCCATAAGTGCTGGAGGCCTCACGCTTATAAAAAATATATATCCCTAAGTGAATGCCATATTTTTTTTACACGGATATGAGTAGAACCTAAGAATTTATGTTCGTATATATAATGTGCGATATATTTTGAATTTTTCATATAAAAGTCTTCATACACATGCAAGTATCTCGAAAATCCTCAGAAAAGAGTATGTTTCTAGTTAATCAAAACGATTTATGATTTCTTGTAAAAAAAAATAATAGATATTTCTGTAAAGAGAGCCATTTGGTTTTTTATTAATTAATTTTAAAATGTTTGAATTTTTAGATTTATATATACTACTTCGGAATATGCAATGAAAATGTTTTCATCTAATTTAAAGTTTCGGTTCAAGACGTCTGCATGAACAAATAATTGGAAACTCACCTTTGATTACGGATGTTGCATCCGATGCCAGCACCAGAAAATGCAAGGTTCTGCTGTTGTTGGGACAACAATCTTAAGATTTTATTCCATAACTGTTTGTAAATTCGCTAGTCTTAATTTTTTTAATAGCTTTTCAAATATATAAACTATGTAGAATCTTCAACTTATCAAAAATACAAAACATTTCATTGTAAACAAAAAATAAAGAAAAGTCAAACGTACTTACGAAAAATACAAATAATTAACTATGTTAACATTCTTTTACCTTTCTTTTCTTTCTCTCTTTTATTATTCTTTTAGCAACCCATATATAATTTATTTGCTCAGAAAAAATAATACTCACGGTCCTAATATAGTTGGCTGGGAAATTACCGAACACTAGTTTTTATACTAGTATTTATACTAGTGTGAAGGTGCCTTCTCTTATTTTTTGTTAACAGGGGCAACACATTTTAAGACGTTGAAACGTCTAAATATATTCAACAATTAGAAAAAGATATTACTGTCCATAAAGCTTTCATAACTCAAATAATTTATATATGAAAGTAGGTGTATTATCACTGAAAAAAATATGCATAATATGTAGTAATGAATAATAGCGCAATAACTTTTATTTCATACTTCAGCTATTTTATGTTTTAATATGTTGATTTTCCCAATTTAAAGTTGTTGCCTGAATGCTGGTAAGTGATGCCACATTTTTCAACTAATTTTAAATGCATTCACTATAGTCACCTTTTTCATGGCTGATAACGCGAGTGAAAACAGATGTTTTATACAAACTGCTCAATTAAATTAGTGATAACAGCGGCACTCTTCACTTTTTCTTACATGCTTAGTTGTTCGTAGTCTATTTACCACTTTTCATTAAAATCAAATTCTATCAAACAATAAAAGTAGACACATGTTGTTTTTGTAAATTAAGGGCGTTGCTAACCAGTTGTTTACCCCACAAATTTTTAAATCTATGCTGCACACGATTTTCTATATGCAAAATTGTTTGCACATATGTACAAACATATGTATTTAAATGAGACAACAGAAAATTTAATAGGTTACCGCTAAAAGCGGTATTTCTCACATAACTGTGATTCTTAATAAATATAATTTTTGAAGTGTAAATAATAACTACATTATGTTTGCAATACGTACAAGCAAACAAAAATATACATTCGTATTAACGCAAAAATTAATTAGAACAATCATGAATGACAATGCAAGGGCAAATTTGTTTGCTCAAGCACCGCAACCCGTATTTATAAATATAACTGTGTGAATATTCTGAATTTGCCCCGCCCTTATATCTCATTTATGCCAAATATTCTTACCAATTTTTTTGTTTTTATTCCAAAGCAAAGCAAATCCTTTTATTTTATTATTTGTACAAATTTGCATTATTAAAAGACGATAAAAATTGTTTTATTAAGTTATAAATGCTAACATTAGCGATATAAATGCATTAGCATACGAATATATACATATTCATTCAACAAGAGCTTAATTGTATAATACGCTTGTGCGGAGTTCCTCAAATTTTTCGGGATAAGAAGTCTGTAAACTAAATGTGTGTGGAAGTACTTAAAAATTTAAAAATATACAATTAAAGAGAGCAGTTATTGATAAGCATACTCATATGTAAGGACGAATATTAATGCCAAGCATTATTAAGAATATATAATATATTTCAAAAACAAGAATTCAATAAAAAGCTCGTCCAGTTAAACAAAAAAAAATTATTGTTTTTCATTTTCATTTTTTACCCAATCGTCCCAAGATCCTTCGTAGAACTTTACATTCTTGAAACCCATCGCATTAGCTATTTCTGCAGCTTTTAAGGCACGCTTTCCTAGTTTACATGTGAAAATTATTTCATCCTCAGTCGATGGCTTCCGGCGACCAAACTTCGACTGAAAAACTTGTGGTCTAACATCCTCTGCCAACATACGTGAAACGGAATCAAGTGGGATATTAATACTCGTTGGTATTTTCCCAGTTTCTTCAAGTTCCTGCCGCTCCCGTACATCAATTAACAGTTTTTCGGGACGATTCGGCAGCTCTTTTACATAACTGTAGTTTACGGACGATATTTCTTTTCGGTAGGAGTTTCCTGTACTAAAACTTTTAATCTGTTGGTTGTTACTCGAGGAATCGCATTTGCTATCATGAATAAGTAGGTTCCGCTGTAATTCCCTAAAATGGTCCAATCTAAGAGATGTCAACGAAAAGTTACGCGCAGCCAAATCTGAAATGTTAATTTTGTATGAAAATATAAACAAAAAAAAATGTAATTTCATACCACAGGCATTAACGTATCGTCCTCCAATAATTCTTGAAAATCTATAAATCTTAGACATCATCTTTCAAATAAAGAGCTTATGTACAAAATAATTAAATTATGTAAATAAAACGACTCGGTGTTGTAGTTGAAAAATTGCAATTAAAGTTGTTTAACACTTGCGCCAAATTAAACTGTAATTTTCTGTATGTTCACCATGGAGCAGGGTTGTTGTTTTTCGAAGTATTTAAGGTAATCCAAAAGTTTTATTCACCACTTGTGCGTAAACCGAATTTGACAATTATTTGTATCTATGTATGTTTATTAAATTAAAGAATAATAAATTAGGAACTAATAAATAACAAGGCAGTGATAACTATTAAAAACCTCGTTAATATTGAAATATTCCTCAAATTGGTATTTTTTCTTTACCTTTAATCAGAATTTTATTTGGCAGTATTCAAATACGAAACAAATTCAATTTGCAGATAAATGAATGCAATCACGTCCCGCAATTTTCTTTCTGCTCTTAAAGAATACTAATTTGCAAAAGTTAGTTTCGGGCAAAACGAACCGAAAATTAAATGTATTGGACGAAAGAAAATTGCTTCATCTGACTTAATAAATTTTGCTTAAAATTATGAGTGTGGCATGCATTGGTAAAGTGACACATTTTTATTTCATTTATTTAAAAATTTGGAAATATCCAGTTTATTGAACCAAATTTACTATTGTTGAAAAACACTTCAAATATAAACACTTTGAAGTGTATGAATACAATAAATCACATATTCATTGATTTAGAAATAGTATGCCATGAATTTAAAAAAAAAAGGAAAATGTACAGATTTTAGATTTACGCTTGGTTAGTTGTCTCTTTGTTATGTTGATTGAATAAAGTCGTAAAACGGATTTCTGCGCGTTTGTTTTTGGTCGGTCCGAAATCGGTTCTTCTAATAGGTTAAGGTCCTTTTACGCGGAAATCGTAAAAAATTTAATTTGTTCGAATTTTTGTGTATAAACTTAATCGTTGCCTTCGCAACTTAATCATGTCAAGCACAGCAAAACATCATTGGAAGCATGTTTATCAACCATCCGGACCAGCTCGTAAAATTACGTTGTTCAAGAAGTTGCTTTATCTTCGTTAGTCGGAGGGCAACAACATGAAAGAACATATAAGTAAATTCTATGCGGTGTTAGAACAGCTAAATGAAATTGGAGTTATCGTTCCTGAAGAAATGTTGACAATAATTTTATTTTCGAGTTTGAATAAATCGTTTGAAAATTTCGTCGTGGCTATTGAAACTCGAGATAACTTACCTTCACTTAGTGCGTTAAGAATTAAGTTGTTGGAAGAAGGTGAAAGAAGGTTGGAAAATAGTAAAGACAAAGAGATGGAAGATCCGGTGCAAGCGTTAGTAGTGCACGCCGGTGTTACGAAAAAATGCAGTTACGGTAATAAAAATAAGTCAAGTGACAAGAAATATGCGAACATTAAATGTTTTAAGTGCGGTAAACGTGGACATATTGAGTCGAAATTTAATGACGTTAAAGAATTGTGTTCAAATAATGCTAGTTTATAAGTTCTAGCGTCAGCAACATTGAACAATTTGAATCGTGAATGTTGGATTATTGACAGTGCGGCTTCAAGCCATCTTTGTTGTGAAAGAGATTTGTTCTGAAAATACAAAGAAGCAGTTGGAGTTGAAGTAGAGAACTTGAAGTGTGGCAATTTAATGGTAAAATTGCAAAATGTTTTACACGTGCCCTCTCTAAAAAATAATTGTTTTGTCGGTTAGCAAATTTTTGCATTATGGACTCAAAGTCTATTTCGAAATAATGGAAGTTGTAATAAAAACTGAAAAAGGTGAAGTTCTAATGAGAGCTAAAAGGCAAGATGGTTTGTATGTTTTCCGGTACAGCACTGAAATATGTTGTGGTACTAGCGTCATCAATAATAATGAAGTGGACTGGCATAATCGGTTTGGAAATTTAAATTTTGAAAGTTTAGCGGAAATGGCTAATGAAAATATTGTATACGGACTAAAATTTAAAAGTCAACAACAACAAAATCAATGTGTAACGTGCGCGAGAAGTAAGATTTGCGTGAAAAAGTTCTCAAAGGTATCTGAAAGTCGTGCGGAAAAAATTTGCGAGATTATTCATACAGATGTATGTGGTCCAATAAATACAAAATCCTTAGGTGGATCGCGTTATTTCATTACATTTATAGATCACATGTCGCGATATATATATTTGTGTATGTTTTATGAAATCAAGAGACGAAGCATTTTCGAAATTCAAAATGTACAAACAAATGGTTGAAAACCAAACTAACTGTAAAATAAAAGTGTTAAGATAACGGTTGCGAATAAAACGGTATTGTGAGTCAATTAACTGTTCCTCATACTCAACAAAACGGTGTTGCAGAACGTGGCAATAGAACTTTAGTAGAAATGGCAACAAATATGCTGATTCATAGTGAGTCTGGTGAATGTTTTCGGGCGGAGGCGGTGTCAACGAGAGCTTACATATGTAACAGAGCCATCACAAAAGCACTCAGAAGCCACGAGTGTCACATTTTAAAGTGTTTGGCTCATTAGCAATCGCATTAGATAAGACTCATAAGCAAAAATTTCAACAGAAAGGAAAGAAGATGATAATGGCAGGATATTGTGAACCGTCAAAAGCCTATCGTTTGTATGATCCAGTAGCTAAAACAATAACCGTTAGTCGAGTTTCGTGATCATCGCGAAAGATAAATTCCCTGGTACGGGTGAGACAAATAATATGAGATTTAGTAACATTTGAAACTGAAAATCAAGAAGAAGGACTAACAGCTCCTGAAGCATTTGAAGAAAGTAATGAGCAGTCGGATCGCGTTGATCGCGGTAGACCCAAATTCGTTCGTACTGGTAAGCGTGGGCGTCCTCGTAAAAAGCGGAATATGGTTAACTTACTATAAGCATCAGATGTAGAAATTCCAAATACAGTGATTGAAGCAATGAACAGCAAATATTCCCATCAATGGGAATATTCGATGCAGATGGAGTATAGCGCTTTAATAAAAAATTATACGTGGTCATTGGTTGATTTGCCACCAGGACAGAAAGGTATTGGTTCCAAATGGTGTTTAATGTAAAACAAACTGCTGATGGTGGTGTTGAACGGTTCAAATCGCGTTTGGTTGCGAAAGGTTACAGCCAACAATACGGAGTGAATTTAAGCGAAACATTTTCGCCCGTAGTTCGATATGCTACGATTCAGATGTTATTGGCGTTGGCTGCTGAGCATAAATTGTTTTTGCATCAGATGGTTGTATCGGCGGCATATTTGAATAGTGATCTCCGGATATCTTATATATGGAGCAGCCGGAACTTTTTATTGACAAGCAGTTTGCAAAGCGTGTGTTGCAATTAAAAAAAGCCTGTTCCAACGCTTTTTTAAGCTTGAGTCAGTTTTGATAAAAATGAATTTTAAACCATGCCCTAGTGAGCCATGTTTGTATATCAGAAATGAGAAAGGTTAATATAACATAATAGCTGTTTATGTTGATAATCTTATAATGGCAAGCTCAAACATGAAAGATTTGAGCGATATAAAAGCTAAGATAGCTGACGCGTTTGATGTTGTGGATGGGGGTCCATTGAAATATTTCCTTGATATGGAAATTGAACGTGAAGGTGATGTAGGTAGTATTAATGTATGTCAGAGTCAGTATATTTTAAATATGCTAAGCCAATATGGAATGGAGAACTGTAAATCTGTAGCTACTCCGTTAAAAGCTAGTTTTCAAACATATCGTGATAAAGAAGACTGTGAAAGAGTTAACGTGACTCAATATCAATCAATGATTGGAGCTTTGATGTACTTGGCGTTTTCGACGCGACCTGATATTTTACATTCAGTCAGCGCAACTCAGATCCACATGTTGAACATAAAATTGGTGCAAAACGAATAATGCGTTTTTTAAAGGGTACAGTTGATTATAAATTACATTATCAGAAGACTGGAAAGCCGATTCAAGGATTTGTTGATACAGACTGAGGTGGTGACGCAAGCGATAGAAAGTCATATACTGGATTTGCATTTGTTGCAGCTGGAAGTGTTTTCTCGTGGAAGTCGAAGAAGCAGAATCTAGTATCCTTAAATAGTACTGGAGTAGAATATGTGGCGTTATCAACGGCAACAAGAGAAGCTGTCTATATAAAAAAGCTGATTAATGAAATAGATTTTAATAACACTGCACCAATGGTATTGAACAGCGACAACCAAAGCGCACAACAATTATTTAAAAATCCGATTTTTCATTCACGTAGCAAGCATATAGATATTAAGTATCAACATATTAGAAATCTGTATAGAAATAAGGTAATTGAGCTGAATTACATTTGTCCTAATGAAATGTTTGCAGATATTCTCACGAAAAATTTACAAAGGGTTAAACATAATAAGTTCACACAAGATTGGGATTATAATAGAAAATTATTTCATATTTTGTAATAGTATTGTTTATAGTATTTTGTAAAATAAATTGAATATGTTCTAGTTGAGAAGGAGTGTCGAAATACACTTCAAATGTAAACACTTTGAAGTATGAATACAACAAATCACATATTCATTGATTTAGAAATAGTATGCCATGAATTTTAGAAAATAAGAAAAATGTACAGATTTTAGATTTACGCTTAGTTAGTTGTCTCTTTCTTATGTTGATTGAAAAGTTATAGGTACATACGTATCGGCCGGATGTAAGTCCTGGTATTTCCGGTATAAAGGCCTGACGGTTGCAGAAACTTTTGGACTTTAGTCGCCTCTTACGACAGACATGCTTTGCCGCCGGAAATTTCTTGAACCCCTACTTCGCAGGGTAGAAATAATAATTGTATTATCATTCGATTTTAATTGATTCGCATTCATACACAAAATACAAATAACAATTAAATGTTCATATGTCTGCCCTATCAATTATTATAAATATGTATAAACTAGCAATACACAGAAATATGCTCCCACAGAATATTAGCATGTCGTATGTTGTTTTGAAAGTTTTTGTTTATTTTTTTAATTACATACTCAATAGGTTCTTCAGCATTTGAATACACACTCATATACAAACAAATATTAAAATGGTCTGATATCAATATATAACTAGATCATCGGGAGAATGGAGTTTTTTTTTAAGGTGGAAAAAGTCATGAAATAGGTTAACTCCCACGACCTTTAATAGCTTTTAGCTTTTGAAAATTAATTTTTCTGATTAAAAAATAATCCTTTTGCATTTATACATATAAATATGTATATGTTCATATCTGTTAACAAACAAATTTATGCACGAACATAACAACGTATGAATAAAATAATATACGCAATTTTCAACTCATTATCAGTAAAGATGATTATATATACATATTTATATGTAAATAATCTAAGGCAGTGTTAATACTTTCAATGTTTTTTCTGCCCTCAGATGACTCTGATTGTAGATTTAAGTAATTTAATGTAAGAACCATCATCTTTCATTTATACACGCAAGTATTCATATGATAATAAAACAATTTGTATATATATACTTATAATATAATATAAATATTATATTATACTAAAGGCCACGCTTATGATGTTTATGTTATTAATTCTTCTTCCTGTCACAAATTATGTGATATTTATTTTTTAGTTAACCCCTGCATACCTAATCCCATTCAAGTAAACAACAATATAATTTTGAAAATGCCCTTCGCAACCTGTCTCAAAAAATTTGTCTTTTATAATAATAGAAACCCAGCGTCTATTGCTGATCATGAGATTTTTGTTATTCACATATGTATGTATGCATGTGTGACATTTAATTCGGTAAATAGGTTTATGAACTTTATATACATACATATGAACATACTTACTCATATACAAACATTCTTAGTTCCGTTTAAATATGCTATCAGCAGTAAGAAAATAAAAAAGTATGTATGTACATATGCTTAATTCCTATTAAAATTCGAGCTTTTTAATTTTTTTTTCATTAAAATTTGTCAATTAGATCCTAACAGAGAAATATGCATACATACCTTGTTTTTTGTATCATGCATATATGTATACATCTAAGGGTTGGAAGTTTTTCTTGTATTTTTTTGTGAGAAACTATTACATACTTAATTATCAGAATTACCGGGTCATCAGTATTTGTCAGTTAAGTAATAAATAAATAATTTTTCTTGTATTTTTTAGTTATATTCTTTATTAACTTTTTATAAAACTTTGATCAAATCATACAATTTATTTTTTACCTACGACATATTATACATAAATACAAATATAAATTTTTTCATTCGCATATATTTTTAATACAAGTTATATACTTAGTGTAAAATTAAAAAAATATTAAAGTAATCTCGATTTATTATTAACAAAAACTTTGAACTCTTTCCGTATATCTTCTTGCAGTTACATATATACATATGTACATATATACCTGTAAAGGATTAAGGAACTGCATACAACCTCAATAGCTAACATAATAAAATAATATCGATTAATAAATAAAAGAGAAAAAAATTTAACTGGAACAAATTTTATATAAAACAGCAAATACCAATTTTAATTTCGATAACGCTTTTAAGGTTGCAAGCTAATCACAATTAATCACTGACACGATTATCATCTCAAACATTCCAACGTTTTCGCGATTCTTTGCCGTAACTTGTGCATATACAATGTACTTTCTTTATTCCAAGAAGCTGTTCGGCTGAACGCCACTTTTCGTGGCTCCTGGACTCAATTACTCTAAAACACCCAGAGATTCACCAACTTTTACTTTCTGACCAGTTTTAATGGTGAATTTAAAGTTCTTAGGTGCTTCAAAAAGTAGAACAATTGTGCTACCCATATTGAATTGCCCCAGCATTTCACCACGTCCGAAGTGGGTCTTATTTGATAACTCAATTTCATCGTATATGTGCCGATCCTTATGAGCACCTAATTGCAATCCCATCCAACGATTTGTTTTCAAATCGTCATCCATATATATTTGTACGGATCCTACATTGGTGGCACCCACAGCTGCGTAACTGAAGAAACCATGTTCCCATTTGCCCATGTATACAGCGCGTTCGTTTAAGCAAAATAAGTCAGGCAGCCAATTTACAATTCGAGGATTAACAGATAATAATTCGCCTACAAAATGACGCCTCAACTTCGGTTGCCATTCAGCAGGTGAGTGAAAACGGTGATAGTCACCAGGAGCCAGGTAAATTACGCATTGAAATAGTTCTGTTGAGCCATCGTTGATCTCTTTTAATTCTTCCTCAAAATTCCCATTTAGTCGTTTATGCCATGTAACTGGTCCTAAGAATGATGATACACTGTAATTAACACCCTTCACTTCTTCTATCAATTTGTTTTGCGCTGACCCAAAGTGTAACACACGCCCATCTGCAGGCGAAACAATAGCTGCTCTGTTATCAATGGGACGCACCCCTTCTCTCAGCGGTCGAGTAAAAAATGCCGCTAAACTATTGTAGTATTTGTAATCTGGGTATAAAGCCTCTTCCATATTTACACCGAATGCATTTGAATACCAACCATATATGTATGGTCGCAAAGAAACAGGTACATAGCACGCCGCTAACCAACCCCAACATCGACTTATTATTCGTAATGGCAATGAGCAATATACTTTTGATTGAAAAGACGAGGCAGTACGAGGTAAGCTTTCACGTTCACTTTTTTGTTTATGGAGCTGCCAGTCTATAACACCAAACAGACATATACCAACAGGTGTCCATCTCAGAAGAAAACCTGTCCACTTCGTCCAAGCACTATGACTTACAAGTCTCTGTTTATTGTATTTGTTTCCAGTTTTACTCAACGTGTTGTTGGATTGTACAACAGATTTTATATTAGGTTGTTTCTTTGTGTCGGAGGGTGTTGTGCTCTTTGTTGAAAATGTTTGACGAAAGTGACGCAACATAGGCCATTTTCCATTTTCTTGTTGTTGTTGAACTTGCTTAAAATGAGCCGATTGCCGTAAGCTACTTGCTTTAATAAGAAAGCGCCCACGCGGTACAAAATAAGAGACCATTTTGTTACGTATATATTTTTTCCGGTATACCAAACAGTTATACAATACTTAAATTAAAATCGTATAATGTAATTTGATCAATGTTTATTGGACAATATATAATTTTTATCACAACTTCAACTGAAAGAAAATTTTCCTGATTTGCCTAGCCCTGCTCTATTTTCATACGCAATCGTCGATTATAGTCAGCTGATTTCACAGAGCGAAAAATTAAATTAATCTGCTGTTATCGAATTGTCAAAGTAAAATGAAACTACTCTGAGAACGGTTAATAGCTGAAGCACTTATTTGAGCTTATCAGTGACAAGTCTGTTATCGCTTAATAATAGTCCTGTTCGGTGAACTGATTGACAAAAACAATTGTTACAAATTTTTACTGAACCGCGTTCTGCCAAATTTTGACGTTTCATTACTCGCTAATTTTTACCGACATTTCTCACCAAATAGGGCTCAAGTCAGATTTAGCACCCAAGTAGTTCATCGCCTTTAATTCAATTCAAATTCATTTAATACTGTAGTGCCTTTATTTGTCAAAGAATTTTTAAAATTTTCGACACTTAAGAATCAGAAGAGGTGGTATGTTTCGTGAATTAAAAATTCAAGCCTACGGTAGATATAACTTTTTAGCAATCATACAGGCACAAATATATCAGAACTCATGACCTGATATATATTGCCAGCCATCAACTGGCAGATTTTCACATTGACAACTAAATAATCGTTTGCCTAAAAGCTTGCTGATCGCAATATCATTGATTATTACTTTTCAGTTTCTCCAGTTATATAATATCAGTAAGTCTATTTAGCATTTCTAAATGTTTATTTCATGCAGCAAACATTTTACAAATGATAATGTTGAGCAATCAAAGTGCCCATATACATTAGCTTGGAATCAAATTGCCTGCAATTGTCTGTAAAACTGATAGTCGTTTGGTAATCCCTGATTGCCTGTAGATTTTTGTGGTAAGTCCGATGTAGTCTTGTTAATTTGCATACAATTTGTTTAAAATACTCTTCAATTTCAGCTCACTCTACTATTCTATTTCGATTACTGGGTATCGATTAATATCTTTTATTTTTTTCTGATAAGTAACATCTCTATGTATACAATCAGTTCTTGTTCCAGGAAAGTTGTATAGAAAGACATTTGTTTATTTTTCAGTGCGTTCATAAACAACTTCAGTTTTGTAAAAGTTAAAAAAATGAGTGTGCCGGATAAAATACCCGTCTCATTTGCTTGTCAGAGTTGCATGCAACCCATTATTTTGGACGAAAGTTTAGACAATATCGATGTTCACTCAATGGCAGAACTTGAATGTAAGCATTTTTTTATTTACTTACTATGCGTAATCATGCTAATCATATGAATATTTTATAGTACCAATTTATTCAGACAATTCGAACACGTTAGATACACAAGATCCGAATGCTTTTGATCATTTTGTGCCACCTTTTCGTTTGTCGGAATCCATCAATAATACCGGCTTTATGATGGTGTCGGACGGAAAGGAAAAGAAATTGGGTACTTTGTTCAGACTCAAAGCAGAACTATTCGACTGCCTTTCTTCAAATTCCGAAATTGATCATCCACTATGTGAGGAATGTGCTGATTCTATGCTAGAAAGCATGGATCAAGAATTGAAAATAGCCGAGAAAGAATGGCGCGATTATAAAAACTACCTGGATAATCTTGAGCAACAACAAAAATGCCCCAATACGACAGAATTAGAGAAAGAACTGAATGAACTAAAAGAAAATGAGTCTCGCATGCTAGCAGAATTAGAGCGCCTTAAATTAGAGGAAGAATCTTTAAAAGAAGAAGTGAAAAAGGAAGAGGAAGAAAAGATAAAACTACAAAAACAAGAAGCAAAATATTGGCGAGAATACACAAAGCATCGTCGAGAATTAATGTTGACCGAGGATGATAAACGTAGCCTGGAATGCCAAATAAGCTATGCAGAACAACAGCTGGAAAAATTGAAAGATGCAAACATTTTTAACATTACCTTTCATATATGGCATGCGGGTCATTTTGGTACTATCAATAATTTTCGGCTTGGCAGATTGCCATCTGCCGCCGTGGATTGGTCAGAAATAAATGCTGCTTGGGGTCAAACAGCTTTACTTTTATGTGCCCTTGCCAGAAAGATAGATTTGATTTTCGAGCGCTATCGTATCGTACCTTTTGGTAATCATTCATACGTCGAAGTTATAGGAGAGAATCGTGAGCTTCCCCTTTATGGAACGGGAGGTTTCAAATTCTTTTGGGATACTAAATTTGATGCTGCCATGGTTGCTTTTCTTGACTGCTTGACACAGTTTAGGGAGGAGGTTGAAAAACGCGATACAGAATTTCTACTGCCATACAAAATGGAAAAGGGAAAAATTATTGATCCGTCTACCGGAAATTCATATTCAATTAAGTTAGTATTATACCTCGCACTCATTTCTTCTATTTTCTTCTACATATCTGTTTATCCATCTTTGCAGAATTCAATTCAACTCCGAAGAGCAGTGGACAAAAGCTTTAAAATTCATGCTGACAAATCTAAAATGGGGTCTTGCTTGGGTTTCATCTCAATTTGCTAATGATTAATTTATGCTTAATTCTAAGAATTTTAATTAGTTCAAAATAACAAAAGTTTGAATTAATTTTCTGGAATATTATATTTATTTGTAATAGTTCATATAATTATATAAAACTTGCACTTTCATCTGAATATAAAATATCGTCATCTATCAAAAAAAGCTGTTTTCTTTTTCTTAGCATCTACGTTTAACGGTGTGCCGCTACAACTTGCTTATTACTCTTTATTTGTAATAGTTCATATAATTATATAAAATTCAAATATACATTGATGGACCTTTTATGTACTTTAACTATTTAAACATTTAAATTTGATTCAGTATTCTGTTGAACGGCTTTCAGCGCTGACTCGGAGTTTTCCAAAATTTTTTCTTGTACTGGAGATTCGTCGGAAGATTCTTCACTTGCACTTTCATCTGAATCTAAAACATCGTCATCTATCCATAAAGCCGTTTTCTTTTTCTTAGCACCTAAAATAGGATTGGCGGTCTTACGTTTTAACGATGCTCCACTACAACTTGCTTTGCTATCGATGCTATTTTTCAGGCCTTCTTCAACCGCACTATTTACTTTATCAGCGAGCTTAGCTCTTGCCTCTTCATACTCTACATCCTTAAAATCATGCTTTGGAACTGAAAGTAATTTTTCAATTTTTCTCTTTTTGCGTTCTTGTGATTCTCGTTCTAAATCTCCCATTTTCTCCAACACTGCTTTTACACGCTTTTCTTCATTAATATCTCGTAAACGACGTCCACTTAAATCTCGACAAGCCTCCCTGTTCGTAGTCTTCTCGATTTGTGCTCCGATAGCTCGCAGCATGGAACCAAAACCACCTTTTCCACCGAAGATCCGCAAACGACAGTGTGCTACGCCAGAAATGATATCCCCTTGCATTAAACGACGTCCATTCTGTTCGAGATATATCTCACTTGGTAATAAGTTCTCAAATTGTTGTGAAATTAAATGCTTGATCGCACAACACTTTTCTTCATCCGTTTGAAGTATCAGTTCTTTATTTAAATAAATCAACGCCATATTTTGCGATCCTTGCACAATTTCTTACTTTCAACTATTTATTTGTGCTGTTTTTATATCACTTCCAGAGTGTCTGGCGTTATTTGACAAACTAATGTCTTTACTTTGTGTATTCTTTGTTTATATAGCAGTCAGTAAATGTTGATTTTAATTATCGATTGTAATCGATATATTTTTTTAGTACTTTCGATCACTTAGTCTGCGCTTACACGGTGATACTTTTTGTCGACGAAATACTCTTTTGTAGGGGAGGGTACGACAACGAAGCCGACTACCAAACATATGTACCTATGCGTATATATATCTAATTATACTTTCGAATAAAGGAGTATGCATATAAAGTTGGATTAACGCAAGAAATATTAGAATGTATTGACTCTGATGAAAAAATTGAGATATGTAAAGATTTGTAATTAGATTACACTTTCGAAAATATAGAGTTGATGTTTAATCGAATGTAAAAATATATATTAGAAATAGATAAATAAAAGCTGTGTCCTCCTTTGCATACATATATATTTTTTTTTTTTATTTTAGAAATCTCAAAAAGCGCGAAGCAAACAAAAAATTGCGATTGTTAAATAAAGCAGATTAGAGAAAAAAATAAGAAGGAAAAATAGTCAAGAAAAAAAATTTTTCCGAAGAAGGTGAACGTAAAGCGCAACATCAAAAGGCAAATAATAATAAAAAGCGAGTATCGCCGTGTTAACTAAGACTTATTAACTTATTGTCCGAATATTTTCGTTTGTGATCAATTTCCATGTAAATTTATTTAATTAAGGAACAACTTCGTATCAATGGTTTGTAATTTTCATAGAATCGTTGTGGAAACAGAGTAAAATATCTTCCACAATGATATGGAGTATGCAATGAACGATAAATTCTTAGTTAACTTTCTGACATTTATCATCTTTAGTGTGTGAAAAATGTGTTCAATTTTTTGTAAATAAATAATATTCTATCATTCGCTGGAAGTGTGACTGGAATTTGCAAACTATCTAATTTATATTTTTTTGGTAATTTATATAGTTTGAGATGGCTTCATCTTCAGGTAGCGATAGTGACGATTCAGTTCAAACGGAAGAAGAAAGGGTAAGATATAGTGAATTTTGCGTTATTAGTCAATATTTGGGCTTTATTCTATTGATCCAAGTACTTTATATTTTGTGTAGGATTCCATTCGGGAGGATCTCAGCAAAATGAGTTTTGAAGAGATCATGAAATTAAAAGAACAACTGGGAGCAAAGGTGTACAAAGAAGCAGTTTTGGGTGTTAACGATGACTCGACTTCGAAATCACACAGTAAAAAACCTGCTACATTCAAACGATTGAATAAAAATCGTCCTCGTGAATTGTCTGCTAAAAGACAAGTTCCCTTTATATCTATTGAACAGAAAAAATCTAGTAAAACAGAGGAAAGAGTAGCCGATCCTCGTTTTGACGGCAATTGTGGAGATTTTAATGTGAATCATTTCAAGGAAAATTATAAATTTCTCTCAAAAGTTCGACTGAAAGATATTACCCGTCTTCGTAAGCAATTACGCGAAACGACCGACAACAATGAAAGAAAAGCTCTACAAGTAGAAATACAAAGATTGGCTAACAAAAATGTTGAAGAGAAAAAGTGGCACATAAAGCAAAATCAGCTTAAACGAGAGAAGTTAGAAGTCCAGCAAGCTATACAAAAAGGACTACGGCCACATTACGTAACGAAGAGTAAGTACAAATCGAAATATTAGAAAAATAATTTAAAATTTTTTCTTCTTACAGAGGAGCGTCGTGCTAAGGAATTGGTTACACAATTTGAGCAACTCAAAAAATCTGGAAAACTAAGCAAACACTTGGAAAAACGACGAAAGAAAAATGTTGCCAAGGACCGCAGACAGCTTGGTTTTGCATAGGATTAAATTTAATTTTCAATTCTGAATATATTTCATTAAACAAAATAAATGTATCTATAATTAAAACTCAGCCTGTTCGCAACATCTTCGCCTCCCGCTTCTCTTGTAGTTCTCGTTTTTGCTGTTCTACAACGACTTGACGTTCTTCTAAAAACTTTGCATATTCTTCTGGATTTAGTTCGCGTACAATTTTTATGCCACAAGTTCGAGCAATACCCACTAACATCACGCACATTTGCTAGAAAATGTTTGTTATTTTATCAAAAACCAATCATTTGAGAAAGTATGTAGAAGCACTTACTTGCATTGTTAATAAAGCATTGGGAGGATCTTGTAGTTTAATTGCTGCAATTTCATATAAATGCTTGAGCGTTATCATACCCGCGATTTCCCGACCTGGTTCCATAGCACCACGGGCTAACCCTGCAGCTTGTTTCAGTAAAAACGTTGCCGGTGGCGAGTGTATAACCAAATTATAACTCCGATCGCTGTTTACGGTTATGCGACAAGGTAGCGGAATGCCTTCCTTTATATCTGCTGTACGTGTGTTGAAGTCTTTGCAAAATGCTGCAATGTTTATTGCTCGCTGGTGTAATAAAAATTATTTTCATATTTTGGCGTTATCAATGAACATTTCATGAATGCATTTTAACACTAACCTGTCCAAGCATTGGACCTAGTGGAGGGCCGGCAGCAGCCATTCCAGCTGGTATATTTGTTTTCAATTTGGTCGTGTGTGCAATTTTGTCTGCTGTTTTCTTTAAAATTTTCAATTTCCCTGCAGCTTTCGACATTTTTAATAGATAATTCCTTTAAATTAAACTTTGTTATGCAAAACTGAACAACGATAATTTCAATGACAATCAGCTGGTGACCGTCAAAGCTACGATAGACAGAGATGCATTACGGTTTTTTGAGAAATTTCAGTAGAACATATGTCTATATTACTATGGGATGGTTAGAGAGGTACTACTGTAAAGTTCAAATTGAAATGCAACACTTCCGCCAAGAACGCAAAATGTCATATCAATAAGGGATGAAACAAACAAATTCACTTTTATTCAATACGTACTGAAAAAAGAGAATAACTGAAAAGTCCTAAGAAATTTGCAATAAAAACGTTAAAAATAAAAAAATAAATATATAAATTTGTATTGTTGTTACGTATTGATGATTGTTAAGTTATTGCGTGTGAAATAAATGGATTAGATATTAAATATTAAAAGAAATACAGGGCGAAATATATATACGAGCACAATCGTGCGGTACACGCGCAAAAGATTATAAATATTTCGATGGTGCGTAACAAAACGCAATCGACCTCATCGTCCTCCTCAGGCAATGCTAGTGGCAGTGCAAGCAATAGCAGCAGTAGTACCAAGTCTCCAATCCGCCAGAACAGCGCCAGCAATAACAATATAAACAGTGGCGCGCGAACACACCGCAAATCTTCCAGTACCTGCAGTGTTGCATTAGCTGACGATTCGAAGCCAACATCGTCGTCATCCAGTCGGCGTTCGCAACCACAAGTTAACACCAATACCACTACTCATACAGACGAGGAAACTGACGGAGAATATGACAGAACCCCCACTGGCGGCGCCCCATCGATCAGTTCTGTGCACAAACAAAATCTTTATATCGTTTCATTTCCCATAATTTTCCTCTTCAATATATTGCGTTCGCTGATTTATCAATTGTTTTGTATATTTCGGTACGTATACGGAGCTAGCACAAAAGTGATCTATCGGCCACATAAGCGGGAGTGTAATATTGAGATTGTTGTCGGTTCCAATAATTCGTTTAAGAATTCCCAAAATGAAAACAATTTAACAAACGATATTGACAAAAATCAACTCGTACAATATCAATCACGCAATTCTGCTTTAGCTACTTATCCGCTAGTCGGATCAGCTGGAATTGGTATAGGTAATATTGCTGCTGTCGGTGGCCAACAGCGTTTTCGTTCTGCTCAACAATTAGATATGTCGGGTAGGGGGAATACATCTAGTTCACCCGGTCCAGGTGATCCACTACTGGCTAAACAAAAGCATCATCATCGCAGAGCGTTTGAGTATATTTCAAAAGCGTTAAAAATAGATGAAGAAAACGAAGGTGCGTAAAGTGAATGTGTTATTAATGATTGTACAATTTTTATTGTATATTTTCATATATTTAGGTCACAAAGAATTGGCTATAGAATTGTATCGTAAAGGTATAAAGGAATTGGAAGATGGAATTGCAGTTGATTGTTGGAGTGGACGTGGTGATGTGTGGGAGCGTGCACAGCGGCTACATGATAAAATGCAAACGAATCTTTCCATGGCGCGCGACCGCTTACACTTTTTAGGTAATTGTATAAAGCTGATTCATTACTTGTTTTGCATTTGCGCTGTACACAATATGTGTTTGCATGCTCATTTGTTATGATGCTTTTTTTTTGTTTTTACCTTTTGATTTTTCTTTTTTTATTTGCCTGTACATAGATATGTAGTTAAATAGTTGTGGTTATTACGAAAGTAAATTTATTGTTTATTTTATTTTCATTGTGTTTTAATTTTCATATTACTTAATTTTTTGTTCCTATAATTTCTATGTAAAAAAATATATATAAATACGTGCTGTGCAGAATTAAGAGAAGAGGAATTGAAATTGCATGCTCTTGAACTTAATGATACTGAAGTACAAACAAATAAGGTATTGGCGGTTTCACCAATGGTGGTCAATGGCACCGAACATAGGAACTCCCAAACCCCACGTACGGCCTTAGTAAAGATTGGTTCAAGATTACCTTCCACAATTAATCAGAATAAACCTAAAATTGTTAACAAAATAAGTTTGATTAATCCTAAGCCGACAGCCACATCGGGAGTCAAAATCTCTGCGGCAGGTAAGAGACATTGCATTGTAAAGTACTTGAGAGACTTCGAATCGTCCGTTAATTTTCTACAATTCGTTGAAGTTTGCAGATTTGTCTACTTAAAACTGAAATTTTAAATAATAATAATTAAATTTTTAGTCATTTTGCAATATTTGGTTGAACCGATTAAGATGTAATATTTGAATTACCAATTTACTTATATAATTGCTCAATACTTTCATTTTGTGTTACAGCTTCTGGCAGAAAATTAACGGTTAGCTCAAAACGTCCAGGTAATCTGGCCGTAATTAACAAGTCCCAAACTTTACCACGTAATTTGGGATCGAAAAATGCGAGTAGCACAGCGGTGCAAAGGCAACCAGTTAAAACTGCAGCCACACCGCCAGCAGTGCGCAGACAATTTGTAAGCAAGATATGACTAAATACCGAAATTTTCATATATATATACATATATATATATATATATATATAATTCTTTACTTATTTTTGTTCTACCATAGTCATCTGGCAGGAATACGCCTCCACAACGAGCTCGTACTCCTATCAATACCAGCTCCAACTATAGCGGTCAAAGCAGCAGTAGCGCCTCCGCAGCTGCGGTCACAGTTAAAGGAGTGGAACAAAAATTGGTTCAAATAATTTTAGATGAAATCGTGGAAGGTGGTGCAAAAGTAGAGTGGTCTGATATAGCCGGACAGGAAGTGGCTAAACAGGCTTTGCAAGAAATGGTTATCCTGCCATCAGTGCGTCCAGAGCTTTTCACAGGTAGGCCCCTCAAATGCATAGCAATGCCCCAAAATAAGTAAATTATTCGAAATTATTCATTTATTTATTTTTCATCGATTATCCTATAGGATTGCGTGCACCGGCTAAAGGTCTTCTCTTGTTTGGACCTCCAGGCAATGGTAAAACATTATTGGCACGTGCCGTCGCAACAGAATGCAGTGCAACCTTTTTGAATATCTCTGCAGCATCGCTTACCAGTAAATATGTGGGCGATGGTGAAAAACTAGTGCGTGCACTATTCGCGGTGGCACGTGAAATGCAGCCGTCAATAATTTTTATCGATGAAGTTGATTCGCTACTTTCAGAGCGTAGTAGCAATGAGCATGAGGCTTCGCGCCGACTTAAAACTGAATTTTTAGTTGAGTTTGATGGTTTGCCTGGCAACCCAGAGGGTGATCGTATTGTCGTTTTGGCCGCCACAAATCGACCTCAAGAATTGGACGAGGCAGCTTTGCGACGCTTTACCAAACGTGTATATGTGTCACTGCCTGATTTAGATACACGCGAACTATTATTGAGTCGTCTGCTAGAGAAACAAGGTAGTCCACTTGGTACGGAGGCCTTACGTCGATTGGCAAAACTTACAGACGGTTATTCGGGCTCCGATTTAACGGCACTAGCAAAGGATGCTGCACTCGAACCCATTCGCGAATTAAATATGGAGCAAGTCAAGTGTTTAGATATTAGCGCAATGCGACCGATAACCGAGAATGATTTTCATAATTCATTAAAACGCATAAGACGTTCTGTTGCATCACAGAGTTTAAACTCGTATGAAAAATGGTCACAAGAGTATGGTGATATAACTATTTAAGTATTTAAACTTAGCAATAATAATAAAATCTGCAGTTTGTGACATATATACACATGTAAGCATATACATCTATATATATATATAGTAAATAACGTTCCCACGTTGCATTCAAAAATGCTTGAAGAATAGAAGAATCACATAAACTGCTTTTTTCGCAACTAGGTTTAAATAAAAGCCTTATACGGATGCTATTGCTAACGCTACAATATGAATATTATTTGAGGGATAAACCCAAGATTATCACTCTTTTTTTTTTTGGATAAAAACGTAACAACAAACTTTTACACCAGACTAATTTTAATTGTTTAAGGCTACCAATTGGCTTTGCGTTTGTATAAGAAACTATTTAGTTTATGTGCGTCAAAGTGCACTTATAAAGGTGCATATGTACATACATAGTTTTGTCGTGATAAGTAGGCACGAAAATTGAATATAAATTTTTATTATTAAATAGCTTACAACAGTGTTGTTGTTAATTCCATGTTCCGTGTGCACACAAACATACATAACTATATAATTCAAGGAGCGAATTTGGAGTCTCTGTTAATCGGTTATTATTATTATTTTTTGTATACGATTCATCAAATTTCGTTTTGGATTTGTTCATTTCATTTATTAATTTTTTCCTTATTGTTAATGTAGCTATGAATTATAATTTTAATCTTCAGTTTTTATTTTTTTTTTTTTTGTAATTATATTCCGAACCTATTATAAAAAAAATATATATAAAGCATCTGAGGGAGATAAAAGATTATTAATTTAAAAAAGTTGTAATTAATAATGTAGTCGGTTCTACGTACCGGAGTTGACCCGGATTTTCTTCGGCCAAGGGCTTTCACCCTTTCGGCCACCTCTAACCCCGTTTAGCTCAAATACAACTTGTCACATTCCCTCCGTTCGTTGAGATAATCAGCAAACCCTTTATGTGCATATATACATATATATATAATATTAATTTCACACTTTTATATATATTCATTTATGTGTATTTAGTGTTAACTGTGAATATTATTTTAATTAGTATTTAATGTTAACTTTATTAAAAAAAAATGTAAGCATTTGTATTCCAAAAAACATATTTTTGTCAATCATCAAATATACTGCAAAATAGAAATTAAGAAAATCTACTTTCTTTATCTTTAATCGAAAATATTATTTTTATTAATGGAATCCTTGAAAATTATTTCCAACGAAGTATCTAACGGAACAAGATTAAAAATACTATCCGCAATGAATGGCTAATGCAAAGAGCTACTATAGTGATAAGTAACAAGTTAAATAAGATAGTAAGATACTCAAAAATAATCGTAATAAAAATTGGACAAACCACAAAAATCGTGTTAGAATTTTCGAAATAAAAATAAAATCTAACTATAAAATCAAAAAGTATGAATGACTGAATTAAATGTTTTTTACACTGTTAATTTTCTTTTGAAAAACTCTACTTAAATTTTTTCATTAAACACCAAACAGCTACAGAAAAACTAGTTTTTGATAAAATTTTCATAAAAACGGTTTTGAAACAGCGAATTCCTCTTCTACACATTACGCAGGCTTTCTTACCATCTCTCACTTATGTTAACTTAATACCGGACTATGAGGATATGTAATATTATATCGCGAGGTATTGCATGCCATTCTAAAAAACCAAGCTAACATAACCTGTGAAAATAGTTTCTTTAGCAAAGAAAATGACTAAAATTGCATGATTTTTTATTTTATTTTTGTTTTCAATATTTTGCATGTACATATGTATATCGCATTCACTTTTTTACTGAAATAATAACTTTATTTCAATTCTTTTTGTTGTTTTCGGTTGCATCCATTCAACATGTTCACCTCTTACTTAATTTCTACGGTTTGTTATCATTTCTTGCGGGTTATAAATAACACGCAACAAAAAGAATGTGTGTGCAGCATTCGTACTTACTGTAAAGCTTGTCACACCGTTTTTGTTTCTAAATATTTTTACTTTTTTCTTTAAATTAAATATCCTAGCTCGTTAATTTAAATATAGAATGGATTAGATCATTTACATTACCCGCCCGTCAAGTTCTACTTGCAGTAGTCCTTACTATGTTTTGTTGTAGTTAATCCTGATTGATGGCGCTCACGTCATATGTTTATTTTGTTTTTGTGTATTTCGTAGTGATGTGTTCTGTTTTCTGAACTGTATTTCGTTTAGTTTATTGAAATGTAAAAAATCCTTTCGCTATATTTTTTAAGTAAATTGCTTAAAATTTTTTAAGTTAATAGCAATGTATGTGTGGGTTTGTGAGTTTGTTATTGAATATCCTTTCACTTTAATGCAGTTATCATCGATCATACTTTATATATATTAAGTTCTCTTTATTTTAAATATAATCTATTTAACAACGACCTAATTTCTAACTTCTTTTTTTTATTCTTTGTTTATTTCTTGTATCCCCATATTTGTTGTTTTCGAGATAGTAGCGAATATTACAATGTTTGAAGTTTACGTTGTTGTTGGTTTCTTCCGTTATAAGAAACTTTCCTCCGAGTATTTCGCTCATTTGCAAAAGAACGATTGGTTGAAATGCTTTTCTCTTCTTTTCATACGCAATATATCCGCTGCAGTATCCTTCCCCGTGTGTCATTTTTTACATTCCTATTTAATCCTATTCATTTTCAGTTATATATATTTTTCGCAGTCATTTTAGCGTCATTTTAGTTGCTATGCGATTTTACAGTTGGTTGATTGGGTGGCGTTGTACAATTTGATGAAAGTAATGCTGACCATGGTTACAGCGCCAAGTGGGAAGATTAGTAACTGGGTACTCTTATTCACGACTTGAGCTTTTGTTAGAAAATATTTGTTTGTTTGTTTTAGTCTCTATTTGTCTATTTTGGACATATAATTCGTTTGGTGTTTTGTTTTGTATGCCTTTTAATATATTAATTTTCCGTATCACCCACTTGCTGTAACAACTATGACGGGCATATCAGGTTCATTGTCCCTGGTATTGAGGCATTGCTGCGCTATACATCATTTGCGGACCTAATGAACCGTTTGCAGCAGCTGCAGCTGTTGCTGCAGCGGCGGTCACTCCTGGCACAACTGCACCCGGCACACCCCAAGTCACGTTCGGTTGCACCATGCGGTAGCCCGCAGCTAAAAAAATTTTATAAAAAATTTAGTGCATTAACAATATTTATCAATTGTTTTAAAAAATATACCTCCAGCTTGTTGAGCACTAGCATAGGCATAGGGATAATATCCTTGTTGCATATATTGAGTTTGCATTTGAGCGGCTGGATAGCCCTGTAACGGTGTAAACAACTAAGCAATTATTCAAAATTTTCTCTTACCATTCTTCATATATGTATTAATAAATTTCTTACTGTAGGGGGGTACCAGTAACCCATTTGTTGGTAAGCGGCTGCATATGGATACTGCGCAGCTAGCTGTTGTTGTGTCATCATTTGAGCCGGCAATCCAGCTCCAGCTGCCGCTGCATTTGCTACCACAGCAGCCGCTGCGGCTTGTTGTGGTGTTGTCGGTAAACCAGGTGACATAATAGTGCCGGCGGCAGCGGCTGCAGCTGCTGCGGCGGCTGCTACGCCCGCAGACGCTGCCACCACATTGTTCATCGAATTGTCACCACCGTTCTCCTTACCCCAAAAGCATTTTACTTGATTGCCGTGCACTTCCGAGTTGTGAGTATGCTCAATAGCACGTGCGGCTGATTCTTTTGTAACGAACTTAATGAAAGCATAGCCTTTGTCTTTGAAAACGCGTACATCTTGTATCGGCCCGAACTGTATGAAATGCTTGTGCATGACTTCATCACTAATTACATTCGGCGGGAAACCTCCACAATAAACGGTGGTATTTGTTGGACTGGATTGATTATACACCTCCTCAAAGGTGTGTCTAATATTCCCCTTCATTCCCATTCCACTGCCAGATTTGGTAGATTCACGGGGTGGTGGTAATTTTCTGGTAGACCAATTTGTACGAATTGAACGTGAACCGATCCATTGGCCATTCATTGCTTGTATCGCATTTTCAGCTTCAGCTTTCTTAACAAAAGAAACGAAAGCATAACCTTTCGATTTCATTGTTTGAGGATCTCTTACGATGCGGCAGTTTGATATTTCGCCGAACGGTGCAAATGCCTCTCGTAGGGTTTCTGTTTCGATTTCTGGACTGAGATCACCAACGAAAATATGATGATGTGAACTAATATCTGTTTTTGGCTGATTTCCAGGACTAGTAGCCCAATTCACCTGTAAAGAAAATACGTTATAATATACACATCGTTTATTATTTATTTGTCTTTACATTGTTCTTAAACACATACCTTTATTTCTTTATCCAAAAATAAACGTTTATTCATTGCAGTTAATGCAGTAGTTGCCGCTTGGTAAGTTGAGTATTCAATGAACGCGTATGGATCATTTCCGGGTTCTCTTATAATTTTACAATTTTTAACAGGACCCATTTGACTGAAAAGTGCAATCAGTAACTCCTCTGATACTGATCCGTCCAAGTTGCCCACGTACAACGTTTTCGGTTGCGACTCGTCCATCATATACATAAGTATGCTTATTATATTTACTTCAAATTATTTCAATTATATTTGCCACCACTGATACTGTCAGTTGTTGCGATCACAGAGACAAAATATGTCAGCACTTGGATTTTTTCTATCAATTTAATATTACTATTTCTGTAATACAGTTCTTTCAATCGACTTGGTTAAAATATAGTGCCGGATTTTATAGTTGTAGTTTTATCATGGCCTTGTATGTGCGCAATAATACAGTACTAATATTTGTTTTAAGTATCAATCATGTCTTGAATGTACAACCTTATAAATTATTTGAATAAATAATTTGACACGCCAGCTTTAACTTTAGTATTTTTCCTTATACTGTTTCTTTTAGTACATAGAAATACGATAAAAGGAAACGAATACTTGAATGGCAAAATATCTTTCCAGCACACATAAACTTCAGTTGAGAAGATATCCTTAATTAACCACTCTGTATATTATTTATATTTTATTTATAAAAATCATAGCTATCTACTCTAATGGAGTGTTGTGAAATTTTCCATAATTAATGTTTCTTATGTGGATAGAAGTTTAGGATTCATTTAAAACTCATTTAAAAATGTCCTACAAAAAATCTAATATATTTTTGCTTTTATCCAGTTATTATATTGTATATGGCATAGAAGTTGAAATACTCAGCACGAAGAACCGATTGAGAAAATAATTTTTGTAGGTAGAAAACGAGATATAGACAAACTCTTGTTATCTGTAAAAAAATAAGAAAATATATATCAATATGGTTCCCAGAAAGTTAGTTTATTATAAACTGTTTATGCACCATATCACATAGAACTTCATTACTATATTTTATGTCCGTTGCAAATAATGATTTCCTTTTTCTTTAAGATAATCACATCTCTATCATCTTTAAAATTGTCAAACCTTCATACCACCTAAATCCATAGAATATTTGGTTGTCGAAATATGCGCGTACCTGTTTTCTACTTTACCCTCACTATATCTATTGTTTTAGGCTAGGCAGTTGACCTTGCTTTGTATTGCGAACAGAAGATTTTAATTATTATTTTTCAGAAATTTAAATTCAATTGATTAAAAATATATTAAATAATATTTCAAATACTTATCAATACTCTACACATTACTTGGGTTCGGCCAAATATTTTTGAAATATCTAAAAGACCGAACAAAGTTTTAGTAAATCAATGCTTCATTCTGCCACATGAAATATAATTTAGGAAGTTTGCAATAGAACAAATTTCAATCTTTAATAACTATAGTTGCGAACGTGCGAATATATTTCTGGATAATATATGTATGAACGTGTAATGCACCTCAGCGAGCACGCCAAGCCACACAACTAGAAGAGGCACAGCTGCACAATGAAACAGGATTGCCTTACGATTCCTTTGTTATTTGTATCAAATGAACTTCTCAATTTAAGTTATTTAATGTCCCGATATACTATTTGAAATATTTTACTTACATATTAATTTATACCCCCGCCTCAATGTAAAACTTTAACCCAAGAGACAATCACAGCGGCTTCACAATCTACAGGAAAACTTTTTAATACGGAACGAAATCAACGAGAATGAATAACGATGACAGGAACAGGAATGAGTGGTCGGTCTCGTAGAAAAACGAAATGAAACAAATTTTGCAAACCGGGTGCACAATCATACCATCCTGCTTACACTTCAATAAATTTCCGACCAAACAACTCAATTCTAGCAGCATAGGCAATAGAAAAATATAAACTATTCACACACGCACACATAAACAAATATAATAAAAGTGAGAATAAGGTGAAAACCGCGCTGCCAACACGCAGGGTTGCTTTACAACCAAATTCAATGTGTGTGTATAAAATATCACCAAATATTTGCTTTTAATAATGACATTCAAAGTTTATGCATATTCATTTTCATATTACTCGAAACATTACAATACAAAATTTCACTATAAACACATCTATGCACAAACAGCAATTTTTCAAGCACTAAATTTGCTAGTCTGGCAAGCTGATGATAGCCATTTTAATTTCTCGTCTATTTACAGCACACACCAAATCCCTTTCTTCTAAGAAACACAACTACGACACCATTTCCATTATATGACGTGGCCTGAATTTCTTGTCAAAATTTCACTATAGTTTTTAATCCATATTACTATATTTATATTAGTATTATACGATTTACCAATTCTCTGCTCTAACACAAATTATTTTTATTAAAACCCCGCTTTCTATGGCGTCGTATAATCTTCACCTTTCAACTTCTTGATGCAAGCTCAAGTGAAGTGACTATGTTGAAATTAGTTCATGTGATCCTTGTCTTGCTCATTTGATACCGCGAAGGAAGACTTTATAATGATAGGTAACCATATTTTCACGAATCGGACTTATTTAATTAACTTCAAATATGGCATCCCCTAAGTTGCCTTTGAAAGTTTCGTCACAAATGCATTCTATTTGGTGTGTGAACGAATAGCCATGTATGTAAGTAGTTGAGAAGTAAATTTCATCAGGAAATTCAAAATATTTAGATTCACCCACAAATTTAATAATCGAAATCGTAAAGCGATTTGACGAGTAGTTTACGACTACAGTTGATTAAGAGTTAAGTAATATAACACACCAAATACTAAAATCGTTAGAATTATCGAACTTTTGCGATCCGAAAATCGCTACACAGGGTTCAGCGAATAGTGAAACTAGTTAAAATTATGACTAAGTCATGTTTACGATCCGAAAATCATTATTATTCGATAGAGAATTCCCCTACTGTAGGGATGAAATTGTGCCAACGAAAATTAAAAATTAATTTACTTATCCTTGACATTACGCTAAACGGTCTGGCAGCTCTTTAATAAATAATCAATCGGAGACTTTATATATATTAAAGTGGAGACACATATATTAAATGGGGAAAAATAAGAAGCGAGAGAAAAAATCTAAAAAACATAAACATAAACACAAGAAAAGTAAAAGTAAACATATTAAGGTTAAAAAGGGGTCCAAAGAGTCGGAGCCAAATCCTTTAGATGTTCCTAAAGATGAAAGCGGGGATGGTTTCGAAATACCAGTGGAGTTAATGAATACAAAGTCACACACACCTGTCACACCAGAGGAATATGAAAAGCGGCAAAGTGAAATGCGTCGTGTTGTCGATCCTAGTACAGGACGTGTGCGTCTCATCCGCGGGGAAGGCGAAGTCATGGAAGAAATTGTCAGTAAAGAGCGACATGCTAAAATTAATAGCTTAGCAACTGAAACAGATGGACTCGTTTTTCAAAAGAATACTATCGGCACAATAAAAAAACTTAAGAAATAATTACTAAATAATTTCTAAAATTTAATATATATTTTAAACACACGTTACATAAATTGATAAATTGCACCGCATTTCAAAGTCAATTTAGCTGTCTTAAAACCAAATTTAATTTATATACATACTTATACTTCGATGCCATTCAATCTAATACAGCTGATAGAAGAAAGTTGTTGCCCCATCATGCCAAGCGAGGTTGTCTCCCACTTTTGCACGACACATAGGGCAGGTTTGCTCCCGCTTAAACCACGTTGTTACGCAACTATTACAGAAAATGTGACCACACTCTAAAACTACCGGCGAGACGTACGAGTCTTGGCAAATGGCGCACATATCATCGGAGGCGTCAAGATTTCTTTCTGGTTTCCTTGTTTTATCCTGAATAAAAAGAGCAGTCACATATATGTATAAGCAAAAGTGGATTTCAGATGCACTCTCACCTTCCAAAGGTTTAAAAACGATTTCTTGAGCGATTTTCCTCTATCTGTCAATTCGCAGCCTTTCAGTACAATATAAGTTGAAGAAAACATTACACCTGATATCTACAAAAAAAAAAAATAATTTTCGCAATATTCACAACCTTCTGAAGGTAAATCATTTCCCTAACGAAACTCACTGCATGTAGACCAGAATATGATTCGAAGAGAAATAATAACCATTGTCGTATGGGCACTAAAGATCGATAAAATTGTGAAAGAAGTTCAATGAATAAATATAGGCGCGTCTGAAAATCCAAATATTACGCAATTAAATATAGTAACGGTTAATATAGATAGAAGAATATTACTCTTGTCTTATGTCGAATTGTTCGTAACGGCATTAAAGTCAGGAGCAGTTTAATTGATATAGTGATCAATTTAAGCAACAAATCGTTGACCGCAATGTAGTATATAATCGTAAGGAGCGATATAATTTTTGGTATAACAACAGTTTGCTCAATGGTATTTGGTTTTGCAGTTGTTTCAATGCTTTTGTCTTGCGGAATACTTAGTACTACTTGATGAATGATATTTCGTTCACTTGTTGGTGGTGTTATTAGCAAGCCAAAAGGATCAGGCGGCGCTGACGCAGCTAATAGCCGTAAAGTTATTAACGCAGAGACAAGTAGTAGATCTCGTATAAGTAGCAAGTTCTTTTTTTGATCAAGTCTGGTAACTTGGGCTTGCAAAGATTTGTTCACACAATACATAACAAGTTGTAGCGACATTAAGTCTAATATGGCTACTAAATGGTCATAAATGAACTTAACGAACAGTATACAAACGAAGGGGATATAGTGTAGGCAATGTCGAACAATATTTATAACTACATCTTGGTAAGCGTTATGTAATTCGTTTGATGAAATGACAGCTTCTTCCGTGTCTCTAGAATTATCGGATGAAGCATTTACTCTGGAATTGTGTGCTATTTCTTGACCTGTTGAATCACTTGCAGTTGCATTCTGTTCATTGTTTCTAGTACCAATCTGATTGATTAAGCTTGATGAAGATATGAACCTGTTGATATCTTCTCGGAAATGTGATGAAGAATTAATATGCCGATCAGACATTAAAATTGGTATCCTTGCAGCAGACTGTACAGCTGAAAGAGAGTTTTCACGAGTATTAGTACCGTGATCTATTAACATTATCTGATTTTCATCACTATCATGGGAATGTCGAGTAGGCCCATCAAAATTACTTGTAGCGGATAATGAACGTACAACTTCATGTGGCAAAGAGCTATTAAAACTTCCAAGTGAAGCTGGCAGAGATCGAACTCTACTGTAGTTACGAGGTTGTAAGCTAGTTGTAGTCTGACGATATGAACCGCTTGTCCCTGTTGAAGCAATAATATTACCAATTCGAGCTCTCGTCACTTCTGCAACATGATCCCGCAGTAGTCTAGCGTATTGTCCCATTATGTTCTCTGCATTTCCTGATCCATTTGATAATTCTAAATCACCTTCGGAATTGTCTTCGATGGTAATAGTTGTATTACTCAAAGACTGTTGCACTAATGGTAGATTATGTGTCCGTGTGGTATGTACTTCAGGCGGATTTATGTTGGAAACATTGCCTTCTGGAGTATGTGTTTGCAATCTCGATGAAATTGTGAGGCTTTGTAATTCATTATCTTCAATGTTGTTGTTCATTACGCCAACTAACTGGTATTTGTATTTATTCTATTAATCTGCTCTTGTTTATATCTTACATAGCAAAGTAAACTTGTATGAACTAAAGATGAATAATCTAAAACAGTGGTTTAATAAATTTTATGATTTTAGTGAAGAGTGTACGCAGAGTTGTCGTCATCACAAAAACTCGACATAATTCTTCGTTTACATATTGTTACGATTTTACTAAATCAACCTCGATTATTTTCTAAATCCTTCGGGTACGATCTCTGGATTGTTAAATAAAACTCGCCAACTCAATTTGCAGTTTCTTTCGTTATAAAGAATTAATCTAATGTCCTTTATTTTCTCAGTAATTCACAATTCAATTATACTACACTTTACTATTTATAATCACTAACATCAACTTTCACAATTTACTCTACTTAAATGTAATCTTCAACGCGTTTACTTTACGACTTTACTGATGTTAACGGCAACGAGTTCGCTTTATCACTAACTTGACTTGCAGCTCAGTGTCGCCTTTATATAGCAGTCGGCTGCTCGCAGACGAAAGCGTAGAAGCATCGAATTGTTCGCTATGGAAGGTTCTTGTTTTATCGTTTCTAGAACGTACTAGT